CAAAAAAATGAAAAGATGAAAAAATACAAAAATAATATAGTAAGGTTCTTGGAAAAATGAAGACATTTTCGTCCAAAACGAAACCGAAAATTTTTTTTTGGATGAATAATTGAACGCAGTTTGCAATTAGAAACTACCGTTTTTGCCTCATTTCAGAAAGAACGAATGTGACGTTAGTTTACCTATACACAGAAGTGTTTTTAAGCATGAATGAGTCATAGATTGTAGTTCCTAATTGCAAAATGTAGTCCAAACGCCAGTCTGGAAAATTGGCTGGCAACGATTGACTAATAGAGAAAACCGCAGAAAAAAATAAAAAGATGAAAAAATATAAAAATAACTTGTGCTCCTCGCCTGTCACATAGATCGATCACTACTACTCAATCATCACAGTGATTTTTCACTGCTATTGAGAGGCATGTCATTTCACGATGATACAACTTTACGCCCACGTGGGAGCGCGCGTTGCCTACACTAAAAACTGAAGGCGAACTGATACGGCGTTAAAATGACCTCTCCAGGGGTGCAAAATCTGCCCGATCATGGGTAGCTGGATCGGTAAGGTTCTTGGGGAAATGAGGGAATTTTCGTCCAAAACGACACCGAAGAAACTTTTCAGAAAAAATTCCGACAATTTATCTAGCTATCTTTTCAACTTATCGGGAGACGTTTCGAGCGAATCTTCATTAGAGAGCACAAAAATAAAATAATTAGATGAAAAGTGGTCATCAGTTCGATAAATTTGCAAAATGTCTACGAAAACAGACTGACCAGAAATCAGTACTTCTTCTGTACTTTTTCAGTGCATTCCCAAGAAATTCAAGACCTCCTCCACAGAAAAATGCAGTACTTTCGCAGAGCCTCCAATTGACGAAATTCGAAAAATTTCAATTTCTCGCTCAAATTTCGACAAAAATGAGAAAAATTTCGGACCTACTTGAGGAATTTTCGCACTTTTTCAGAACTTCCGGACCGCCCTTAAAAAATCGATACTATTTCCGGACTCTCCGAAAATTCCGGACTTGTAGACACCCTGATTGGGGAAAGTGAGATAATTTTTCGGAAGTGAGTGAGAAAAAAATCCCAGGCCCTGTAAGACATTTGGCCAATGGCACTTTTTAGACTAAATACCAGCGGCGAGGCGTGAATGATCGATGATCGATCGCCATTTGAAGCTCTGGTGAAGAATCGATTACTAAGGTGTTCGCTGCGAACACCCTGATAATCGATCTTTTTTCATAGGTTTAAATGGCAGATCAATCGATATATCGCAAAGCACGCCATTCCACTGCTGAACACAAGTCTAAAGAAGTCCTCGTGGCAGTGGTTGAGATGAAAAACCTGTGAGCTCCAGTAAATCACGTAGCCAGACAAAAATTCGAACCGCTAATTAAAAAATTACCACTTAACAGGACAATCCTCATGATCGCGGGGAAACATAAATGTAATTGTTCCGACCTCATCAGTAATTGCACCGATTAGAACGAGCTGCGCGGCTATCATGCGAAAGTGTCGAGGATCATAAACCTCGATTGGAAGAAATTATCGACACGATTTCTTCGCGTATCTGCGACGGAAAACACATCGATAATTGAAACTTCAAAACTTGAGAGAATTTTAAGGGTCTCACAAAGCAGCCGGAGCAATCTGAACCGATGACATTCAATGCCGAGACAATAATTGCACAGCTCATCGTTGAACAGAACAAAATGCACGTGCAACTAATCGTTTAAAATGAGCAGATATTGAAAACATGACCGGTATTGAAAAGCTCCGACACATCTAAGTATCGATCGCTGAAGAGCTTCAGGGATGCAAAAAGTTCTTAGCCTTTCTATTTTTCAAATTGGCTTCTCATTTAAAAAAAAAAAACCTTTTTCCACAGAAATTGCAGAAAGATTACTTTTTCATGACTCTCGTACAAGGAGCCGCGATTGAGGAAAAAACACTTACTTTTACTGCAATTGAATCGGTCAGTTACAAAAGGACTCAGGCGCCAAAACTAAGAATTCGAGAAAAATGGTGGTAACGGTTTTAATTCATCCCTTCTAAATCTCAGAGCTATGAAATATATTAAAGCGATGAATTGATTAATCATGTTAATAATAAATTCATCTGCATTATAAAACGGGTTGGTTCATACAGTTTCTACCGTTTTTTCTGCATTTTTATAACTGGCGCTTGAGCCTTTCTGTAACTGACCGCTTCAATTGTACGACAAACCCTGACGCACTTTAACAAAAATACGCGATATACCGCCTTTCCCATTTTAATAGGTACATACACGGTTTTCGGGGCCTTCCCATTCTCATACGCGACCAATCGCAACCCGCCCGGTCACTTGGTCGAGGAATTTTTGCACCCCTGAATTGCTTGAGAACCAAAAAGTTGCAGAAACGCCATGGGGGAAAGAAGGGCATCAGTCAAAGCGATGAATGAATTGGACCGCGTTTAGCAGAAGGAACCAAGCCACATCATCTACCGTCATTGTCTGGGCAATTTAACTTTTTACAAGAGAAAGTTTTTTTTTTTTTTTTTTTCACGAATTCTTTTGAAATTTTTAAAGAATTGGCTTCGAACTATACAGAAAATTCATTGAAATTTGCACTAAATCCGCACAACTGTTTACATGTAAAAAATTAAATTGTCCTGTTACAATTGGCAATAGCTGATGTGGATTGGTTCCTTTCTGCTTATCGCGTTCCAATTACCTAATCACATTTTTCTATAGTGTACGATTTAGAACGGGTCTATTAGTACATTTTCGAATATTTTTCTCGTGCATTTATTCCTGGCGCATAGGTTTCTTTAATCATGGCAGATTCAATTATTGGCCTTAGAATCCTTGGATATTCTGCCCTCGTTCTCGAGTCATCAAATTGCAATACTCGCCCTACGTGGGTACCTACTCTGTTGTTAGAGAGCTGAAGAGGTGAGAAAAGCGAAAGCGCCTTCAATATCGGAAATGCAACACGCACATCCGCAGAACACAAATAGATGCATCAAGGCGCCGCAACCAACTCAGGTCGGGATAATCGCCGATTCGAATCGGTATTTCTAAAATAGACTTGTAGATTTATTCTTTATTAGCCAGAAAATATACCTAATACGGGGGAAAAAAACAGTAAGAAATGCTTTAATGGATCAGTTCCAAAGAGCTCTAAAATATTAAAGCTGTGGATTAATCAATCACATTGATCTAAAATCTATGATTCAAAACGCATTGAATATCATTACAGTTTCAAATGTATTTCTCATATTTTCATTTTTGGCGCTTGGGTCTTTTAAATAATGACCGATTGTTATTAAATGTTGATAAATGTATGAAATTCCCGAAATCGAAAGCGAATTAATAAATTGATGTTCATTTTTCCTCATAAAAAACCTTCTAAATTTCATGCACTTACGTTTCAAAGGCAGTTATGAAAAATACAGGCAACATCAAAACAAAATGTCTAGAAATGAGTGATCTGCAACTAAATTTTCTACAATGAAGTGAAATTTGGCAGAAAACTACAATCTGGAAACTTTAAGCCTCTCCCGTCTATTCATTGATATTCTCCAAATTTTGACTGACTTATCTTAGAATATACCAAAGACAGCATTGTAATTAACAGCAAAATTATCAAAGGTGTACAAAGGAAACCTTCAATTTTATGAACTTCTGGGTGTGTTTAAAATACACGGCTAAACGGCAGTGTAGATCAATGTTGAAAGTCATTATACCTGTACCTCCAACTGAGATTTCATGCAGATTCCTTGTTGAATTTGGGGTTTTCAGAGGAAATTTTTGGAATTTGTACCTATTTTTTCATCATATGAAAAATGTAAAAATGAAAATATAAGAGTATAAGTAAGTAACAATCATTTGTCATTGATTGGTGCTTACAAATAAATTGACAGGAAAACTTTTGAAATGCCGCAATTGAGACGCATGTCTTTTACTTTCACCATTAATATTTTTCATATTATGATATCTACCTTGAAACCAGTACATAAAGTATGTATCTTGTTCATAAAGACCACCTTGTAAAACAACTGATGCAATCTATCTACACATCATAGGTGAGAATACAAATCCGGGAGGTATACCCATCCGAGATGCTACAGGTCTGCTATCGTAGATTCTTGATATTTAAAAAGATTGATGCTTCACTAAGTTTCGGGTGATTTATCCAAGCCTTGTTCAAGAACACTCTCCAAAAAATTTGCCTGTATGAAGTTACGTTAATTCATTTTCAGAAAAGTAAAGAAGCAGAAATTCTGAAACATTGCTTTCAAGAAATGTACATCGATGGCCAAAGTGTGAAACGACAAATCTCCTTTGGGACGTTGCAGACTTCCTGTCATTCGTCATGATTTTTTTGAAAAACTAACCTAGGTAATTCATCAAAAACTTTGTTGATTTTTCTTCTCTATTAGCCGAATATTCTGTCAAAGTTTTGGACTTGAGAGTTGGCTAGTGTTTCCTCGAAAAAATAACATGGAGGCGGACATTTGGAAACACTGCAATGGAGCTACGTCGTTACGCACTTAAGCCATGGATATTCATGTTTTCACCATTGATACTTGAAGCGTTGTCTGGACCTTCCTTGACATCTGATCGAAAATAACTCTGTTGAAAGATTTCTCGTGAAAGAACTTTTGGCTAAGCAGTCACCTAAGTAACTATGAATTTAGCGGATGAACCAATGTCTTTGGCAAATGGTTACGCAGCAGAATACACATCATGAGTGCGCATAAATGTCATAATCGGTTGTATTAGAGAAGGGTTGTAATAGGAAAATATAAAACCGAAGGACTCTGCCAATCGGTAATGATATCAGCAGATGTGATTCCAATGACTGATGAATAAAGCCTAGTGAAACGACGGATGACAGGAGGTAAACATGCAAAGAAGAAACACTGCCAATCTACTGTGCCAAAAAGGTCGAATGTCGCAAGGCTGAGGGGTCCTGCTACTATTGATAATCCGAGAAAGACGAGTGATAATAGGTTACCTTTTGGGTTTCCAGCGCCTTTTAAAAACCTCGAGCATTGGTGATGGTGAATAGTCCCAGCATTTAATCACGTATCATATCACAAAACACTCCGAAGGATTGCACAACTTAAATTTCGGGATAAACCCTTCGTAAACACGAAAATGACGACGGAACAAGCGCACTGAACTCAAGTTTATCGGGCACTCGCGCTTCGTAAACACAGACAGATGATCGCGCAAGGCACAGCACACTCACGGCGTGCTTTCCGTCCACGAATCGAATTTCGACTAGTCGTTCGCGAGCGCGAATGGCAGTCGAGCGACCTGCCGACAGCGGAGACGCGCTGTCTCCGAAGATTGACGGACTTGGCCGATCCGATTCACTATACTTGCACTTGTGTTGCACTTGTATAAGTTGCACAATTGCACATCGTGCACATCCTACAAGTACTCAAAGAATGAGTTGGTAAATAATTCTTACTGTTTAAAGTACATTCAGTTGCTGAGGAGAGGACACACGAGGAAAATCTTTTTTATTTAGGGAATATTTGTATAATATTTTATTTTTTATGAGAAATTTTATTTTTATGGGGATTTTTTTTTTAAATTTATAAATTATTTTAATTGGTTTTTTTCTGTTAAATTTTTACATCTTTTTATTTTTTGAATTGAGAAAAATTAGTATTTATTATTTTTATTGATCACACAAATAAAAATGAAATTAAAATATGCCAAAGTTTATAATAATGCTTCTAATGATACGTTCATTTCACTTCATGGTTTTACGAATTTACACAGCCAAAATTTAACAAAGATTTCAAAAATAAAAAAAATTTCATCCCACCACCCTTTAAGTATGACTTGTGGTGGGTGGTGCAACCAAGGAAAAACAAAAAGTATCATCAAAGTAACAACTACAGTCACAAACTCGATTTTAAAAAATTTTTTGACAGAATAAACGATAAAATTTTATTCGGAATATCTTGTATTCATACTAAAAAAAAATATTGCATGTATAATAAAAGAATAATCTTGTATATTACCAAGATTTAATCTTGTAGTATAAGAGGTACTTTTTCCAACTCAATACAACTTCTCCATATGACGACCAAGCTGCAAGCTCTCTGACAGCTAGATCAATCTGTTGCGTGAGCAGCCCTAGATAAAGCGTAAAACAAAATTACCAAAAAAAAGTACCCAAGATCGACTTGGAGAACTAAAAAAACGCATGTACAAAATCCAAATAAATCACGCAATAACTGTTAGTAGCAACTGCAGCAACTTACAGTAAAAGTAGTGTGTCAACACATTAAATAAGTCGATGCGCCTTCAGTTAATGATAATACCAAAACTCATACCTAGAGTCCCTTTATACTGAGAGTCAAGACAATTTGAATCCATCTCTGATTGGTTCCCGTATTTTAGGCCTCCACAGTGTCACAAACGGGAATAAAGATTACATTTTCACCAATTGCAAAGATTATAATCTGGAATGGACCAGGGAATTACGGGTTCGGCAAGGAACAAACGGAATGAGAGGAGGAACGGAGAGAGGCATTTGAGAATGGGCCGATCAAAGATTACGAAAAACGTTCAATTTCTGTAATCTTTATTCCCGTTTGTGACATCCATGAGCCGAATTGTCTTGACTCTCAGTATAAAGGGACTCTACTCATACCCATCTGTATGTTGTGTCTTGAATGAATGGTGTATGGCTTCACCAAAAAACAGAAAACAACAGAAAATTTTAAGGTTATGTTTCCACTTTACTTGTTGTTTTCGTTTGTTTCTCTGAAGTTCTCACTTGGTTCTTACTCAATCGTTTGAGGCACCAAGTTTTATAGTTTTCAGGTATTAGTTTCAACACCAAGAAAGACCTTGTTCAATGGCTCTCGTGTTATGATCGCCGATTTATATAAGGGTCTCCCCTGAGGCGTTACTCAAGCGCAAAAATTGCGTGGCTTGGTGGAATTTTCGACGTGATGGATGACGATGATTCGGATTCAGATATGACAAATTTTTCCGATGGTAAGATTTTTATAGTTTTTCTCATTCATTCCAAGTATTCTCCCCTTATCTCAAAGTAGGTTTAGGCAATTGAAAGCGTGTTCTTCCGCAGGATACAAACTGACACGATTCCACCTCAGTACCAATTTAACGATCATTGCATATCACACCTATTTATAACATACTGTAAACGTGGACATGAACCTAGTCTCCTCTCAGCAAGCAACCTCAAGTGACTAACGCCAAGTTTATGCGCTTTCTAAGTGCAATAGTAGACTAGCTGCCTTCATTTCAGCATTGAAAGTGATCACACATATTGAGATTGTGTGGGTATTTTCTATCTCACTCCAAAATACGCTGATGGATGATATCTATTTAGCTTTGGTGTTAACTCTTTAACAGAAAGGAATTAAATCACATCAAAATCAACTCGAAATTCGAGGCTATGAGGTGTTATTTCTCTAAAAGAATCAATGTAGAGGCAAAGTGATCTGTCTTTTTTTCACGGACTTTAATTCCAAAGATTCTGTATAAGTTTATGACAGAGTGCAAAATTACCTTGCCTTCTTCCTTCCTAATTTTTCCCGTTTCTCCTCTCTTTTCTAGATGATTTCATAGATGATCAAATGGAAACATCCGAAAATGAATCGGTTGTGGTAAGATTTTGTGATTCTTTATTTCATGGTGCTTAGGTACATGATGTCGTATGAATAGACTTCCTTTAACATAGGCTCTAGCCGTCCCTTTATCTCCTAACTTCATCCATAGTGAGAGATAGACATTTTCTTTAAGCGTGTGTTTAATTCTTGAAATTTAATCATCAAAGAATATCATTGCTTGGAATATTTCTATTTTTTAGGAAATATTATCCAGGAAGGTACAATTTTGACGTAAAAAGCTTAGTTAGTTCTGAACTTAGCCTTTCTAATGCTTGTAACGTCTCAGCTTAAATTTTGCTTTAATTCAATTTGATGCATACATTTACTGAGTTTTTGAAAATGAATGAAAGAAAATTGTGTCACAAATCTAGCTCTATTCAGAGACAGAACATTGGTATGAAAATAGATGTCTAATGAATGCAGCGCATGCTATCCGCCTTTTCAAGCAAAATGGCGTACATTTGACTTAATTTGTATCAAACATTTTTCTTAATTCCTATCTCTAACAGGGACATGTTCCGCACTATTTACGAATATTGTCACAGAACCCGTCTCCTGTTGATGACCAATCAAACGATTCTTCCTACAACGCCTCGCTGGGAGGCTCTATGTCCTTCTCCTCTGCTGCATCGTCAATGTCGTCAGCTAGCTCTGTGAACAGTGTAGAAATGTATCACTCTCCCACATCATCAGATGGCTCAGATTCACCGGTAGTGGTGGAACCGGGTAGTCGAGATCTAAGGCCGATAAGCTCCTCTTCATCTGGATGGTCAGATGGAGAAGCAGGGTCAAATTATCAAGTTCCAGCTGCTCATCCTGCTCCGACCCCTGTAAGTGAGCTTTTTTATACCTATTACCTACAAGAGAAGAGATGGTGAAATTTTTTGAAAAATTTTTAGAATGAAAAAAACTGCTGTCTCTTTCCAAATCACCCTCACTAAACTTTTTTAACGAGTTTGTGATACCAAATTTTCTGCAAGCTTGATGCTTTATTTTGCAAAAATTGCAAACCCCATGATGGAAAGATCAATAAGAATGATCAATTTAAGTTATTTGCTTGAAGAACAACTGGTTGATCCTCTAAAAATTACATGATAACAATTTAAGGTAGGTACCCATTGTGTTTACTATCAGCAACAAGTACACAATATTACTCCCATCAGTAAACAGTAGAACTTTTTCCTTTACAGTGAAAACTCTCATCAGTTAAATTTTAATTGATCGTGAAATAATGGTATGGAATTGGATCAAAGATTTTTGCTTCAAAGGTAGAGTAGTGTTTTGTTCGAAACAACAAAATGTTTCCATTTTTTTCTTGTTTTTTTTTATGCGATTCTGAACAACCAAGGAGAGAGCAACCTCCAAATTTAGGTTAAAAAACAGCGTTGCTTTTTTGAACAACATATTAACAACTTGCTTTGAGCACGTTGCAGTTGTTATACAACAATGTTGCCTCAGGAGTTCCCAAACTTTGCGCGCGAAAATAAGCCCTGCCCCCACAACACAAAACAACTCCGAACAAAATGTGATTGTTGCTTGTTTTCAAAACATGTTTGTAGTGTTGCCTCTGAACAAAATACGACTTAGGTGAAAAGAAGTTAAGTTTTTTTTTGTTTTTATCACAAATTATTGTAAATGTCACAAAGGAAATATACTATTGCACAAAGAAGGTTTTCTCATATTTTTACATTGACTAAAACTCTTGTTTTGATTCTGTATGAAAGGTTGCCAATGTGATGGAAGCTGCTGCTCAACCAATGGCACAGCAAACAGTTCAAAGGGTTGTAGTCACTGAACAAATTCCAGGACCAAGTTCAGCCTCAACCTCTTCAAGCCCGAAATCAAGTAAGTGGAACAAATGTAATGAAAGCTATTCAGTGAATTGAAAGCAAACATTGCCAATTTAAATGATTGATTGAATAAATGAACCAAAGCGATATAAATTTTAAACTTTTTTTTCTGAAATATAGTTTTAAAAATAAGTTTAAAATTTCCGTCACTTTGGTTCATTTATTCAAACAAAGCAATGAAAGCTAGCTGTATAGTTATTAATTACTGACAATCAGGTTATTTTTATTAATGAAGGTTTACACTTATTTCAAAATGTTCTCTTTTTACAATTGACCACTAGACAGGAGTATAAAATTGGGAGCCATACTATACGTTTCCACTTCAAAATTTGACATAGAATATTATGGAAGCATTAAAAATTTCCAAATTTAATGTTCAAAAGAGAAAATAACAGTTAAGTAATCTCGATATTAATTCCTATTTCCCACTCTTTAAAAAATTGAGCCATGAAATAATTTTGGTATCTTGTACAATGGAAGAATTTTCCTGTGTAGGTACTAAATTTTTCTTTGACAAAATTAAAGATACCTCACATATTAAGAGAGGGAGGAAATCTAAGCGAAACAAGGTTGTACTTATTTGTTTAACATATTGGGGGTTTTTTTTTTGTCCTCCCAGGAAAAAGACCAGCTGATGATGATTCAGATTCCAACGATGTTGGGAATGATGATGGTAGTTATTGCTCAATTTGTTTAGAGGTGTACACCAACTCAGGAGACCACAGAATTGTCTCAATTAAATGTGGTCATTTATTTGGAAAAAGCTGCATAGAAAGGTGGCTTAAGGTGGGTGAACTACTTTCTTATTTATTTAACATCTGTCCATCGATAATTGTCATAATCTAAGAATGTTATGACTACCCGTTTTTAATCATGTTGACTTTGATGGTGTTCACCTTATGAAGTTGCCTTACTGACGCAACAGGCTTACTAGCCATTTTGACCTATACCTATGGCAATGGAAACCAAAGAGTAAGTAAGAGTTGCAATAGTAGGGGGTTGAGAGATACCCCCTTTCCGGAAGATAACACAGGTTTCATTGTTCATCAAAAATATCTCGAAATCAAAGAAAAATTTACCCTTGGAGTTTTCAGAAATCAATTTGCCAGATTTTTCTTGAGAGATTGATGGGCAATACATGCCAATTTTTTCTTGAACACACCAAACAGGTGGACCTGGAATTTTTTTTTTTTTTTTTTCAATTTGAAATAAGTGTCATGAAAAAAAGAATTTCTAGGTAGGTCAAACTGTTTGGTGTGTTTGAGAACCAAGTGTCATGTATTACCGATCAATCTCTTCAGGAACATCTGAAGAATCGACTTCTAAAATCTCCAATGTATAAATTTGTCCATGTTTCAGAAATATTTTCGTCGGAAAATGAACCCTAATTTATTTTCCATAAGAGCTCCAGAAAGTGGGCACCAGGTGGATCAGCCAATCAGAGACGAGACTCATAAAAGTAGAGGGTCCCACTCAGCCCGCACTCCATTTTGCGGCTCTTGTTTTCTCTTTGATAAAAACGTGAAATACCAAAGAAAATTTTAGTCGATAATGTTTTTCGCATTTTTTGCCATTATTTAGTCAGGACCAAGCATTACTTATTGACTACGAACAGATGTCAGAAATAAAATACTTTATCAGAGGAATTTCAGCGAAATTTGAATGCTCACAGAGCATTTCTCTCAAAAAAGACAACATTTCTCTATTTTGTTCATGTTTCATGAAATACTTTGTTCATAATTTTCAGGTATCATGTGGGGCAATCAAGCGCTGTCCATCGTGTAATACTAAAGCGGCTGTGAAGGATATTAGAATTATCTACGCAAAGAAATTAACTGCAATGGACACTGCTGAAAATGATAGACTGAAGAATGAACTAGAAAAGGTAAATTTCAACCATCACATCTACTTTCATTTCTGCTTAAGATGCTTTTTTTTAAAAAAAATGTATGCCAAGCAGAATTTTGTTTAGAACTATTGACAAAAGGTGTTCCCTTGATGAATCAATGAATGACCCAACCGTACTTTAAAAATTGAGGATTTTTCTCCTGCTTGCATCAATGATATGATAAGTAAGTGGACAAGTTGACAAAATGAAAATGACTCCTTGTTCCTTCAATTTGAGTACTTCGACGGTGTAAGTCGGCAATCATATAACTCGGTTTGCGACGTCGCAGACTTCCTGTCATACTTTATTTTTTAAACGGAAAACTATACTCAACGACAATTCTTTAAAACTGCCGTGATTTTTCTTCTCTGTGCTAAGAAAATTTGCAAAAACTTCAAGGAATGATGTCAATTTTTTCTTCTTTAAAAAAATAACATAGAGGCAGAGATTTTCAGACATCACAAACGAGATTTGTGATTGCCGACTTACACCGTGGACTTTTTATGTTTAACTCAAGTAAATGTAACTTGGTTTTTTTTGTTTAATACAAAATTTTGTAAACCCTCCTTGATTATTGGGTTCAAGAGTCATGGGCCTTGTCCACTATGACCCAGTCTGGACGAATTAGTTTCACGAACTTCGTGCTCCTGGGACAGGTTATAGTGAAGCACAAGTTATAGCTGAGCTATAACAAGTTCGCCCAAAGTTCCTCAAACCGCGCATGTGTGGACAGTGCCTTAGTTTGGAGTTTAAAAAGTTGTGCCAAATTAAAATGGAGTCTTTGAAAAATTTGTTCGAAAATCTCTTCATTAACTTTTTATAAGAGCCATCCTGCATCATGTAGCTTTCGTTTGATAAATATAAGGGTCCCAATGAAAGTCCATAAATTATCTTTGTATTAAAACCCAGAAGTCTTCTTTTTCATGTCCACCTTTGTCTCTAAACAAGGTGGTAAAATTGAGCTGGGTCCACACTACTTTGCAAGGAGAACAAGGGCAAAAAGTTTCCCTGCAAAATAAGGTGAACCCAGCTCTTTTTTACCACCTTGTCGCACACAGTTTTGGCCACATTTTGAAGTTTTTTTTCTTGTTTGTCTCTAAATTACTATTTTTATTTTTAGGCTTATTCCGACAACAAACGATTAGAACTAGAGCTAACAAAGTGCAAAATGAACGTTGAAATGCTAGAGAAACGGTTCCTTGAACAGCAGAAAGAAATGAAATCTAAGTTCCCTGGATCATCTAGCTCTGGCAATCCTGGTTGTATCCATTGCAATAGGTCGCAGTCCACCGTACCAAGACTGGTTCACACTCACCGTCTCAGCAAAGGAGGTGGCAGAGTGCTAGCTCACAATAAATATCTTAGTTTACTGGTATGCTTTTAATATATTTTATTGCGATTTCTGGGTCAGTTGGTTACTTTTAACCTAGTTTAATATGACTGACTTTCCTAGAGTTTCTATGCAGACCCAGAAAAGAAGTATTTATATAGCTATAAACAAACTTCAATTGAATCAGGATGGACAAATCTGCTCTGCGCCAATTGAAATGATCATCCTGCTCACGATATTGCACTGGTCAATTAATCCTTTTTTGTAGTTTCGCCAGAAAGTTGAAAATTGAATCTGGGCGGATAAATTTCTTGAGCTTATTTAGAAAATGGCTGTAGAAATAAATGTTTTACTTTATCAGTTTAGTTCTTCTCGGAAGTGTCAAAATTTCCTGTTAAGAATCAAACTTCTCCCAAAAAAATTCAGTTTCCGAAAATATCAGCGCATGAAACAAACAAAGTTCATTTTCAGATGAAGCACCCAAGAATACATAGGATTGTATTCATGGTTTGCCTGAAAATATTAGAAAGTTGGTAACATAGCCAACATGGGTTAAAATCAGCATAAAGCTGAAAATATTAATACAGAGGAAAAAAGCTCATTTGAGCACAATTTTCCCTCTGCAACTTTCCTGCTGTTTGGTGCAACACTAGTTACGACTAGCACATCTCTTTGAGGGAAAATTATGCTCTTATGAGCTTTTATCCTCTGTATTGAAATTTTCAGCTTTATGCTGATTTTTAATGCACGTTGGCTAAGTTACCAACTTTCTGTCCAAAAGACTTGTGCGTCTACCGTAATCAGTTCGTGAAAATATGACTTACTGTTTCTGATAATGGAGTTTATTTAGTCAAATGGTATAATTCACCCCTATACTACCATAGAAAGCTTATCTGATTTTTTGCATAAGGCATTCTGGGGGCATGGCTTAAGGAATTTTTTGCTACTAAATCTGAAAATTACCTCTATTTTTCTTTATCATGCACCAATTCTCCAGAAAATTGAATTCTCTAGTGTATGAATCTCTGCATATTATGGTGGCGAGTGGCTTCAAGTAAAAAAACACATTTTTAAGAAGACCTTTGAACCATCATAGGAAGTATCTTCCGTATTTCATGAATATTCTTTTATCTCTGTTTCAGGTTGCATCACATGCATCTGCAAATCCTGTCTTCCAAGGATTTGGTATCACGAAAATTAATAGTTTGGATTTCAACATATCTGAGTTTGTCTACCTCCACCCGAAACCTATTAGAGACTTATCCTTCCACCATTCTGAACCGAATGTACTATTAAGTGTTTCTTTAGATAAAACAGCCAAGCTAGTCGATGTTTCTTGCAACTCAGTTGTTCACACTTATCAAGGTGACATTTCTTTCATTGAATATTTTGTTTTATTCACAACCTCAACTGTGTGCGTTTTTGTATGCCTTTGCTAATGCCACAATTTTTAATTGTCTTTCTTCTGAGAAATTTGACTTCACATTTTTCAACTAACATGGAACTGGTTTTAGGCCGTTTTTCATCAAACAATTTCCAAGTTTGGCAACATTAGTCAGGACTCAGCATCGGCTCCCTTATGATTTTGCTACACACGGCATCTGTAAGAGCGCTCTTGCTCGAACAACATATATTCAGCACAATGGTTAATACATTATTTGACCCCTAAAAGCTAACATCTTTTCGAGTAATACATTAAGCATGTTCACTGTCAACATTTTTTTGCAAAATTGTACCCATTTGGCAGGAATAATATGCAGAAAAATGGTGAGATTTGAACGCTTTAAACCACGGTTTCTGTCAATTTCTGTAATGCTACCACTATCTATTGGCTACTGAAAGAACTAATACCCGACAATTATTTCTGTGGAGTGCTACGGATAACACCTCTCATCACCCAGTATTGCTATGAAAATGCTCTGTTTAAACCGCTAGTAATTATGTCCATTCCGTCTCAACAAAATAAAGGACTATGGAGAATTGTGCAGCAAACGAATTACTCATCCAGTTCTACTAATTGTATTGTCTTATCATCTGAATTATATACTAAGAAGGTAAAGATATTTTTTCTGATCCTGGAGCCATGCTTAGTAGCTGTGTACCTTTCAAAATTTCTTCTGTATTTAAAACTGAGGTTATCATCAGTTGAGTCATCTAAGTCTCTAAGTCTTTTGGCGCGTATACGTAGTATACCGCCTTTGCGATCGTTTCGACCCCCCCTCGATACAATAACCGAGTCCCCTAGTTCCTTACCGAAAAGTGACTACCGCGAACTTCTGAGATTTTCCAAAGCGTGTAAAAAGTTTACTAATCCGTCAATAATAATGATTAAAATTTGTTTCTCATTCTGGGGCTCGCTAGTTTATGTGTAATGAATACCAAGAGTCTACGTTTCTTGGTTTTTTTTAAAAAAACCTTAGAATGGGGCGCGCTGATTTAAAATATGCATATATAAGCGGAAGCAAGCGAACTGATTCGAGGATGGCTGACCAGTTCGGCACTCCTTGAATGAGAATTTCACTCACTCCGTTTTGTTCACAACGTTGCTTTGACATATCTCCACAACACTGTTATCCTTTTCAAAAGTTGGTACTCCTTGCTCTGATAGCCGGGGCCACCAGGATAGTGGTAAGTGCAATCTGTGATGAGCCTCGAGACTCATTAGACCATTTGCTAAACGTGGCTCATACAGGAGTCCACTAAGCCCTCTCGTCCCCACGCTCCTGATCACTGCGTCGGCGTCACGAAGAACAATGGGCCTTGGGTCCCAACGCGGCCGATACCCGTACCCCAATTACTCACGCTTCATTAACCATTTCACCGTCACGCTAGGATTCATCCAATTTTCAAAAAAAATTGTTTCGCATGTATTTAGCAATTTTTTCCTTACTCTCCGTTAAAACACAAATAAAAAGAGACCTCATTCATAAAAATCGGCCGAATAGAAGAGAAGTTACAGTAATCGAAATCCGAAGAAATCAACAAAACCTCGACTCCTCGATACGAAAAATAAAATGAAGGGGAAAAAAAGAAAGTATAAATTACAATTAAATATAATTGACCTCAAAATTTGACAAACAATTCATTTATATACCTAACGCTGAAAAAACTGGGAGAAATTACAAAAAATTTGCCTCTTGCAAGGGGCTTCTTTGTAAGAATTTTGACCTGAAGACAACGGTCGAATAACAGCAGTACTCCATACAATACACGGTGTGCCTGAACGAGTTAAACATTTTTCATACGTCCAAATCGAAAAATCTTTATATTTTTAACTACAATGTTTCTTGAATCGTTTAAGCAAAAAAAAAAAAAAAAAAAATTCCGTCGAGATTCTGGAACGCAAAGGCGCTTTAAAAGTATTCTGGGGCTATAATAGCTAAATCACCGGTAGTAAATTCGTTATATTATTAAAAAGAAATTGACTCCATAGTTTAATTCCTTAGTTTCTTGAATACGATTATTTTAAGCACTTAAACATTTATACCACCAATTTTAGCCATGGGGTGATTTCCTGAGAGCCGATAATATCACGAATTTCTCATAGAACCCCTCAACAGTGGCTTGCTTTTTTGGCAGCCGATTCGGCCATCGAACCGGAGTTTAAATGGAAGCTGATAATAACCCAAAGCTCTGAGAAAAATTTTGAGATGAGTATAAGAACGGTTTGTTGTAAGTAGCGAGGAGAGGCGGGCAAAGCGGCTAAAATCCTATCTAATTTTTACAGTTTTTCTGTTGAATTAATGTTGCCGCGGGCTTCTGACTGTCCACACATAGTTCTGTTCAGCATATCGATACATAAGTATTTACATTTTACATACGTAGAATCTAATTTTCACGTCGGGGAGTTGACATATTTTGATTTTTTCGATTTTATACGGAAAATTGATGGTTTTTCGGGATTGAAATTATTATTGTTTCATGAAAAATAAATGCACCCAAAATGACTATAGCATATTGATTCTTACACATTTGCACTCACAAAATTGGTTGGTAAATTCAACGAGTGGGTGCATCGACCTGGTATATCAAGTTTCTGCAATTTTTTACGGCAAATCAGTAGATTTTCGGGATGTAGATTGCTTACTTTCAATTCATGAATGAATAAAGCAACGACATGGTTGAACTTCTTTGCATGGAAAGACGTTTAAAATAACAAAATCAAGACGTATTTAATGCAATTGCATTTATATCGAGTCAATTTCTTTTCAATAATATAACGGGATTTTTACTACCGGTGATTTGGGTATTTTAGCCCCAAAATACCTTTAAATCGACTTTATCTTCTAGGAGTTCGACAGAATTTTTCCTTTCTTCGCTTAAATTATTCCGTAGCACTTTTCTTCAAGAATCTGATAAGATTTTGCTTGAGGCAGATCAAAAAACTTAAATTCGATCGAATAGCTTTCTACTTTCACAATACACGGTCTCGTCAAGGTGCGTCTTTGACCTCGCAGTGTTGGATCGTGAATTCTCTTTTTATGCTGTTTGCCTATTTTGAAATCTCTGTAAATGAAAACTAAAGGGGTTGATATGTGCGAGTTAATGACGCGCCTTATCAACACATTGTGTTGGAGTTCACTGCTTGTTTTTTTCTGTTTAAAGCTTGTTTCTTTTAACACATTTTTTTCCCCTTTAGCCGAGAGTCCTGTTTGGTCATGTTGTTGGGATTTGCAAAATCCAAATGTTTGCTTTATTGGCACTCAAAGTGGTTCCATTCTGCAGTTTGATCGCCGGCGCACTGACAAGGTCATGCTGGAATTAGCTGGAGACAGGACTCCAATTGTAGGTCTTTCATCTGTTCCTGCTGTTCCAGGACGGACACTTTCAAGAGGAGGGATCATTGCTTGCCGGTATAAACTTTCTCTCTTTTGTTAAACTATTTTTTTTTACACTGTTAGATTGACTCCATTAGTGGACATATTAAAGAAACTTTAGGGAACTAAGCAAGAAAACTTTTAACAAGTTCTATAAAGAAAGTTTCCAAACAGAATTCAAGAAAAATTGCTTACAGTCCCATTTTTATACTGTCTTGCGACGGTGAGCAATTTGTCTTGGAGAGCTTGAGGGAACCTTCGTTGGAAATTTCCTCCTCGTGGTAAAATATTAACTTATTGTGAGTTTTCTCCTTCTACTCAGGAAAAACTCATAAAAAACTCAGGGAATTCGAAATGTGAAAGAGTATAAACCCTGAAATATATTTACCGACATATGAATTTCTCAGGAATTAAGTAAGTCTAGATATTATAATGGTTAGTGCTGGGGTGCCACTTTTCCAGTCATCCTGTTATTGATCAAAGTGTTCGTAAGCTCAAGTTTTATTACTTATTTTCTGGAAAATAGCGTATAAAAAATTTCCCTACTCACATTTTTTCACTCAGAAAATCCTGAAGAATCTTACATACAACAGCAGTTGTTTCAGTTAAGGTGCCTCTTTCTTGTCAATGACATCCTGTAGTACTGCATAAGCGCGGATGTGCTATTATATTTCCAGATAGGTTTGATTAAGATTGTGTGGTCAAATTTCAGGTTAAGCTCTATTTGGGCCCTTGAACGTGGTGTAAATGAAGGTTTTATTAATCACCGTTTGCCACTGGAGGGAACTTTTATCTCCCTCAATTTCGATAAAGAACTGGATCTCATTTTAGCCTCTGCTCGCCCTAATCAACAATGCTCCACTGCCAGGCATATGGTCTATCAGCTCACACCATCCGACAATCCTGCCAGATGTCAGCATCTTCACACCTTTCATGGTAAGTTCTGTATTTCTGTCCTCTGTTTAGAATGCATTTTTGCATCCTTTGACCAGCTTTTTCTGTTAAGTGAAAAATGAGCTAACAGTGAAGGGGTATATTTTATCTGAATACTTGATATTTTCAAACCATTCAATTTTTGAGAGTTGAGAATCGAAAGTCAAAGGCGGAAAAAAGGTCATCTCTCTTGAAATTGGTGAGGAGTTTTGTTTAAAGTTGAATAGGAAAATGTGGAAAGCTGGTAGGCAGGTGCATAAAAATGTGGAAGCTTGGAAGATTTTGCATCCCTGGAGCGATGATTTTTAAACACTGCAAACGAGATACATGGTTTCGGAGTTTCACCATCGATTTACTGTTTTGAACTTCAACCTGACAACATTAATGAAAATCAGCTCAACTGCCGCTCTGATTTCCTAATCTCCTCCAGTATTCCATCGTTCAAACCAAGGATTGTAAGCAGTATGATGCCTTGAAACGTTCTATTAATTAGCCCCTCATTACATATAATATATTTTTTCACTGAATTACAAAGTTCATAGAACGTTGCTTAACTTACCATGAAAAAAAAAAAAATCATCAGAGAAAATTGGACTACATATAACTACAATGTAGTGAGACTGATTCTAGTCTGAGACATTCCATTATAAGGTTCCTTTATTAGTTAAAAACTCAGACAACATGAATTTTTAATTTCAGGTGGATCCACTGTAGGGAACATATCAAGGTCCAGATTGTTCAATGCAAACAAAGAAACGTTCGTATGTGCCTTTAATGAATCTTCAAAAGCTGTTGAAGCATTCCAATTGTCTTCGTTTAGTAAGAAATTTAGTCTACCCTCCAAGGAAAACGAATCCGTCTCTGATCTTCTGCCTTTCTATGTGAACCAGTCATTGTACCTTTCAACCGTATCGGACAACTATCTGAGTGTTTACTCGATCCCCGCTAAATAAATTAACTTCAATAGAAGCAAGTAAAGTTACCTTTTGTAATTTTGTAACATTTTGTCTGAAGCTCAATGTGTACATATTAATGATACTTTTTAATGCATTTGCTATTTTTTCTGAGTATTGAGAGCAATGCTGGGGGAGTAGACAAAGAGATTTTAAGCTCAGATTTCTTAAAGTCAAACTAATTGGGTTTTTTAATGAGTCCTGCATAAACTTACTTTCTCTCCTACCATTTCCGATGCTAGTCAAGTTTCATTTGCCCTAATTGGTTTACATTAGAATATTTAGTTTAAATAAAAATAACTACTTTTGTTTCTTATAATTTTCTTGCTCAACTGTACTTTAAATCAACCAGGAGACATAGTTTTTAACGTATATCTTCAAACTGATATCAGTGGACAGATCTGAGAGTATTATTTTGGTTGACCGCATGTAAATTTAAACATAATGGTAAAATTTTAATACTTATAATTACATCCAATTTCTGCTTTAAGGTTCAGTTAGGTCGGACCTCTCATCATTACACTGTGATGTTTTCAAATTTAATTGCATTCAAAATTTACAAGATTCATTTTTTTAAAGCACTATGAAAGTTTATCGATCAAATCGATAATTAATTTAGGTTGAAAAATGAAAATTGGGAACAGCGGAAGTTTTTCTTCAGTATCTCAAATTTGTGAAAATGGAGTTATGATTCTTTGGCTCTTAATTAAATATTTCAACAAGGTTAAGATGACATGAAGACAAACAAACCTTTTCACTCGACTCCACTCTGTTTCCGCCAACTTCCATGGTGATCATTAAATAATCAGAGTTTAATTTTATCTGAAGAGTGTAGGCAAGCATTTCAAGGAATGCATGGAGCCATGAGAGAACACATCACAAAAACGAAAATAACCTTTGACGCAAAACCATGATAGAAATTATTGAAAAAGCAAATCTAGAAAAATTGAGTCCTTCTTCACTTTTTGACATCCAGTTGTTCGGTATTTTCATTAAGAATCTTCAAAATATTTTTGTTCCCTCTCTACTTTTATTCGTTGCGTAGGGTTATATTGATGCCAAAATTTAATCAGAGAAAGAGAACTTTAGGAAACTTCAACATTTTTGACCCATCCAAACGCAAATGCTTTTTCTTACTTCATAATCCTCCAACATCAAGTGGATAGTATGAAGTTGTAAACATTACAGCCTTTTTGTTAAATCTTTTTTGAAAAAAATGTATATTGTTTGATGCTCCGTTACTGATATTGTTAATTTCATTAGAGAGCTCACTTATTTCCCGCTCGTTTGATTGATATCATCCAGGAAAACTGTTAATCTTCCATGGTCAATTGACATCATTCCTCTTTGTTAGACTGCTTCTCATTGTGACTAATTCAAGTAAATGTGGACTTGTATTGAAGTGTTGTGAATACATTTTTCATTTGTACATTTTTAAATATAAGTTTTTTATTGAACAAACAGTCCATTAGAAGTTCGATTTTTTACCGTTTCTGAAAAGAAATCCTAAGATAGTTTCAGACAGAGGCGGATCTAGCAACTTGGCAACATCGAATCTCCTCCATTTAAAACAGAGTTAAATAATCGATTCTGGTCGGAGCACCAAACCCTTCCAAGAATTGATACATTTCCATGGGTTTAAATGGAGAAAAAACGATGTTGCCTGTATGCTGGATCCGCTAATGTCAGATTCTACCTTCACTTTGCAAGAAAAATTTTGATAACATCTTCGGTGAATAGAAAATAATACCTACTTGATACAAAAAAAGACAAACAATTGAAGACATAAAATTCTGTTTTATTGGAGAAAATAAAACACCAAAGTAAAAATGCCTTAAAATATTACATGCCTACTATAAAAAACATTAAATAATACAATAAACATACAAAAATATGATCACAGCCTGATCACAAATACATAATCTTCTTTGGGAGAAAAGAAGGTATCAATATTGAGTGAGTAAAAATTACATTCATGCATAGAATTAAAGAAAAAAAGAAACTTTAAATGTATAACTTCCATCGAACTTTTAGATCCTGATGTTTACAAAGAAATCGTAACTTTATAGCGTCCTCAACAAATAAGTTTAAGCACTTTTGGACTGCAACAGAAGGTCATCAAACGTCGTTTTTGCATGGAGAGTAAACACAAGCAGCAAGATGGCGGATTTTCTGTCGCATTCTAGGAGTGAACAAACTTAGTAGGTGCTGACTCTGAGAAAAATAAATGACGAAGAAATGATATTGTTGTTAACTCGAGTGCTCAATTAAATTTAGCGAGATACAAATAATGACTCATCTTGTTGCTAAAAACTGAGGTCCTCAAGACTGATTCACAATGTGCTGCTTTATTAACGTCTGTTACCATTAACTGACTGATGGGAAGCACTAAATCCAGCGAAAAACTCAATAAGAGGTTCGAGTTTTCGGAACAGAGAATCTTGGATCATGCCTCAGAGCTTCAAGGTTAATATACATGAGAAAACTTGTCCTTAACACAAACAAATTATCAGGCTGATACAGCCATTTTAATTGTACAGATCCAACGGTGAGAAAAAGGAAACGATAAATTAATAGCTAAACTACGATAGATGGTATACTAATTTATACGTTAAGTTGGATAGGTATGGAATTGCGAAAACAAGTTTATTGATTTCCATCTCTTTGATTTAATCTGGAAAAGATTAAGAGCAAATTCTTGTCACTAAGTTGAGATCCAGGGTTGGCATAATCGGATAAAAGAAACAACATTACGAACAAGGTCTTAAAGTTTGCACAGCTAATAAATGTTATTACAGAGCACCTTGGAACGATTGTATTCTTGTCATTTTATCAAAATTGAGAAAAGAAGAGGTAGAGGTGTTTGACTACCTACTTTCACTCCATTTCAAATTTTTCTCTCAGAAAAAATTGCTCTACAACACTGCCATGTTTTATTTTTTTTCAGCGATGAGCACAATCAGTGCGTCAAAAATTATTGTAAGGATAGATAGGATGAAATTTGGCAAATTTTTTTGTACTGCACAATTTTGCCAGGAAAAAATTTAATTTTCTGAAATGGATTTGCAGGACTCTCATTTTGACAGTCATTTGGTGACTTATTAAAACTTCTAATTGACCTTGCATTGGATCTTCAAAGCCAAAAAATCTGTAATTAGTAGAAGCAGCAACCTGATTCTGTGCAAAATCGTACAGTTGACACTCTATTTTATCTTACACTCTCCCTCCAAAATTTTCAGCTTTACACTTCAAGTGCTTGCTGCTTTCAATGATTAGCTCCACCAAAATGTTTTTGCTTATGACATTGTTCTGAAAGATAGTCATTATAATTGTTCGCCTTCCATGGCATAATGGTTGTGCCACTGACCCTTTCATTAAAGGTCCCTAGTTCAATTCACAGCAAGGCCACCCGAGCAAGGGTTGCCTTGGGCTGGTTGTTGAGTAGTGAGAGATTGAGAAGGGCTGGGGGGCAAGTGAAGGATTAACCCCTCAGGGGTATTTGAGGTAGTGAAAAAAAAAATGGCAACTCTGTACATCATTTGTTAAAAGAAAATTCTGGGAGGTAATGCAGGTTATGTAATCCTGTCACTTCATAAAAACTGTAGGTTGTAAGATCCCCACTAAACAGCTTTAAAAAACAATTTTTAAAAAATCTCATGAATATTGATGTAAAATGATTGCCCAGAATAAAAAATTAGCAATCCAAGTACCATTCATTCATAAAATTTAAAATTCTAGACCAACCAGATGAGAACTTCTTGTATGATACCAGCCATGTAAATGTAAACACACAAAAATAAATAGTGAAAATTGAACCATTTGAAATAAGATCAATGAGGTGCACTCTTCCTGTCATTCATTATTGATTTGAATGTAAGTACAAAATTCCTGTGACATGAAAAAAATAAAAAAATAAATTAGATCTCTGGCACAACTTCTTAAAGCTTAAAAGTTTGGGTGTAATTTTAATGACCTATTGGGCAATATCATCTCCTTGTATTTAACATCACCATACGCAAGTGTGAAAATCCTGAACGATTCCTGCGACCCAGCATTTCTGCTTCAAAATTGGTGATTTGTCGCACTTAGGACAGAAAGATCTTTAGATCTACCTCACATTTGAAGGTTGAATATTCATCTGAAGATATTTGCTGCAAGCAGAACATCAAAACACACCATTTTTGCCTCGAAAAAAAAGGAGTACCTTAAAGTGAGCGTAGTGTTTTACTGGCTGAATTATCTGTCTCAGGTGAGACAAAGATGGATGAAATTGCTTTAGTATCTTTTTCAAGTGCAGCTGATTGATCTTGTAGTTGGCGCTGCATAGTTTCATTGTTCTTTAGTTGCGTTCTGGAAAACTATCTCGCCTCTGGTCACCTTAGGCTCAAATTCATCGAGTTCATAAACCTATAACAATACAAAAACAATTAGTTATAGAGAAGAAGATTTAAAATTTCATGGAAGAGGAAAATAACCATAAAGGGAAGGGGAAGGTGCATAACTGGATGAAATCCTGAAAAAGTAAAGATTCCTTCCGATAAAATAATTTTTTTGGTTTTGGAAAATTTACGTATAACCCTGGCAACAGCAAGTAAAAACTCCTACCAAGAAGCTGTACAAAAATCGTGGTACATTCAAAACTTTCAAAATGGGGAGACAGGTTTCGGTTGTCCTATCTCCTAGCCATCATCAGCGTACTCCTTGCGCACATTTTCATAATTTTAAACACACACAAGAGTGCATTCCTTTTATTCCATACCTTGCATGCTACAGTATTTCAGCATGTGTTACAACATTGCTGCAGCTCATCTAATTCTTTGAATTTCACCAATTTTGATGACTGATTTAATGAGAACATTACAAATTGGGCCTTAAATTTTTAGAATCCCTTCTTATGACATGTTGAGAGGGTACTGATAGTGAAAGTGCAAGACCTCGTATCTCTGTTTGCGAATTCCTGTCAAATTTTATTTTTTCTTTGGAAAACTAGCCACCGTATTTTCTTGAAAATCCCTTGATTAATCATCTCTGTTAGCAGTATATATTCTCTATACATTCTTAGCTAAACTGCTGGCTTGTTTTCCTGAAAAAAAATAAAATGGAAGCAGACATTTTGGGACATCGCAATGGAGGTACAAGGTTTTGCACTTAGGCCATCAATATACAAATTGTTTTGCTGGGTTGTTTTTGTGAGACTAGATGGCAAATAACGCAACTTTCTTCACTTAATCTATTTTATATTTATCAAGTTTCCAGCAATATTTGCCACCATTACCAATGTACTCCGAGTAATTTTGCAGGGACAAAAAAACCTTCCAAGTCCTGACAGCACTGCCAGGACTTGTTTTTATGACAAAGAGCTGCCAGGCCCAGTGCAGTATGCAATGTGTGACAACCACAGGTTGATAAATCAAAAACAAACCTCTTCTTCTTCATTTTCAATATCTTCATCATCATCATCTTCATCATCATCATCATCATCATCGTCGTCATCATCATCTTCATCATCATCATCATCATCGTCATCATCATCTATAAGCTCTCGTTGCGGGTGAATATCCATCTCAAACTGAATACGAATGTCAAAAAGCATGTAAGCGAGAAAAACTAAAGCAGGCAAACGAAGTCTAGACTGCCATGCTAGTCTCAGCAAAAACATGAAGCCAGACTTGAACGGACCTTGAACGTTCTTCGATGGAATGTAGTCATCATTCATCTGAAAAAGAAGAAATGAATATTTTTGATGCACTCTCTTTGCCTTTTTTAGGCAACTTACCTTATAAAACATATTTTTAAGACACTTGTTTATATGACTAGAACGGAGGAAAAAAAAGAATAGATAAATGTCACATCCAAAAATTGCACCACTCAAAAGATATTTACATGCTAACCGATGGGCCAACTGATGATTGATGCATTCAAACTGATATGACTTTTGTCTATTCTCTTCTTTCCCCAGTTCTAATAGGTAGACCTTAGATAAATATATGTTCTACTGACTCAGCACAGTCAAATAATTTCAATTAATGGTTCCATGATCTTAGAACAGAAATATTTGCACACAATTGGCAATAAGCTGAAAAGGAAATGAAATATTGCATCATGACGCCGACATTGACGAAGGTTTGTGTTTACTAGATCTGAAGAGCTCTTAATACATTATGGCCAAATGTGGATGCAACCCAAATTTACCGAAGTTTGAGATCCAAATTGGAATAGAGCTTTCTATTCTCCATTCATTGTTTGCATATCAAATATGCCTACGAGTCACTGATGAAAGAAGCTCTAGCTTTATCACACGCCTCCTCAAACTACGATAGAGCTGATCCCTGAAAAGTGCGCAACTGCCAAGAATAGAAAGGCAAACTCACCAGCCTATAAAAGGGAAACGACAGGAGCGATGGTGTGAGAAACATTTTGCGAAGGTGATCGTCGAAAGTTTCAGTGCAAGAAAAAATGCAGCTCACTAAGGAGACATGTCCTGTGGTGACACGGGGTGGAACAAATGGATTGACAGGGAACGCACTTCGAGCGAGGCGCAAAATGAGTTTGGCACTGTACTAAATAGTTCAGAGGAGTATCAGAAGACTAATGATTATTCAAAAGTGATAAAAATTAAAGATTAGAACAATTATATTCGTCACGCAAAAGCTTGATGCAAGAGCATAACCAATAACCAAACAGCCGAAAAATGTAAATAAACAATAATTTGATAAGTTCAAGAGAGCGCGCACAGAGTGCGTTACTAAACCAACCACACCCGCGAATTTTGAAATATAAAGTGACTAAGTGGTATTATAGCAAATTTTGGTGATCTGGTGAAGTCAAGATGGAATTGTCGATTTCAAGTACACCAGAAAACCCGTCATCCTCTTAATTTAATTGGAATTAATTAGAAGAGTCAAAATGAAGGTCTCACTCTGATAGCAGTCGACCAACCTTCTTGGTATATGCAAGTCCTGGAGGGAAGTTGTTTCTTCAAAGTTCAGGAGTTTTTATTTCTCTCAAAAAATGTTTCAATGGCCGCACTCGCTGTTACTTTTTTTTTACGGCAAGCACTATCTAGATAGATGTTTGAGGCTAAGGAACACAATCTTTGGGGGTCAATTCCTTCTATAAGAAATCAAAATTCGGGAGAAAAGTTAAATAACAATGCCGGCTTACATTTTATCTATCTTCGCTTCACGCAGTTGCTCACGTGGCCCTTGAAGTACCACTGCAAATTAGCCAAAAAGGGATCCAGCACAGTAAGAAAATAGAGCAAGGGAAAGGACTCGTGTTGATGACGGCGCAGAGATACGACTATTCGTACTTGATGGATGTCCGTGTTGCATCTGCAAAATTGAAGGCGCGATGGCGCGAGGCGTGAACTCGCGAATCGCGAGTTTTCGCGATGATGCTCCGTTGTTCCGCTCTATGATGCTATTAAGGTGTCGCTCAGACTCGGGAGAAAAGTTTAAAAACGAGGCAAGATTTTACATATCTCCAATCTTCAGCAGTGTCGACACTCGGTTTTTTTTTTCTTTTTTCAATTTGACGTCTGATTCTTTTTTTAGGATGTACCGGTTGTCCTATTACTCGAGAGGAAGACTCGGAAGCTGCCAGCTGGATATCGAAGCTTCGGTTGCGGGAAGACTTGCATATACTGGGCTCATAACTCCCCCAGAAGAGATAGCCGGGTCAATTTGACCCGGTTGGGAATTTCTAGAGGATAGTTGGACTGCATTCTGCAATTTGGACTTATAAATTCCGGCCCGGTTTAAAAACAACGTATGTGCCATTAGTTCCCCTATGCACATAAGTGTTTTTTCAGATGAGTCAGAATTTATAGGTCCAAATTGCAAAATGCAGTCCAGTTGTCAAAAAAATTCCCCAACACTCGATTGATTTTTTTTTTTTTTTTTTTTTTTTTTTTTTTTTTTTTTTTTTTTTTACAATTTGATGTCTGATTTTTCTTAAAGATGCATTTTTGTAGCATGTCTAAAACTTGTATGCACCGGCCCTGTGCTGCCGTGCTACGGAATAATGCCGTATAAACTCTCAGGCGTTTGCCAAATTTCCATAGATGGAACACGAATTTCGTGGTAAACTCATGAATATTTTCATGAGTTTACCAGGAAGTAAACCAAGGAGTAACCTCTGCCTTTATGAGGAGTTGTTACCCCCAGGCCCCAGGCGACAACTCCTCTTGCCCATGGGACGCCACGGCCCTGCACACATTACAAAATTGGTGCAAGCAACTGTTACAGCTCCTAAGCGGCCCACATTGCCTATTGAGATATTGAAGGCGAACCGATCGGACCGAGTGGGAATCAGTGTACGTGGAGTATTAATCCACTTTTCCAGGGATAAAGCAGGGAAACAAACAATGTTCAAAGAGCATTCCAATGTCGCTAACCTTGCAAACATAAACGATCATCTAAACTAGTTTCACCTCTACTCCCAATCAGGCGGTTCTAGACCTTCATTCTTGGGGGTGCCCAGAGGTGGAAAACGTTTGAGACCGGCTCCAAAGGGGACGGTCGCTCAGGGGAGGCCTATGTTTCGGCCCTCAAGTTTTATCCCTTCCGTACCCTCCTTCCTCTTTTTCTCTCCTCCTCTCCACTTAAATACCTGTAAATACAATTTAGAAAGTTTTTAGCAAAACTTTCCATCAAAACTACAATCTTACCATAAAAAAATAGTGGAATCTTTGTAAAACACGGCTATCAATTTTAATTCTGTTTAAAACATTTTTAATTAATTGCTGGGATTTTTTTCTCAGTGTGAGCGAATACAGAATCTTTAAAAGCAGTAATTTAACGGTTCCGATAACCGTACTTAATTTTTGCTTGGGAGTGCCCGGCACCCACTGGCACCCCCGTAGAACCGCCTATGCTCCCAATAAACTATGAATTCAAGACGAAAATTACCGTCGCAAAGTTTACTTTTTGCAAAGAATGTACCTAAGTTGCACAATCCCAGCAACATTGAAATGCTCTCAGTTCCTTTTTGCAAAATGCGATCCAATTGGTTGTTGCTGCAAAAAAATAGTTTCCCACAACCTACTATACATTATACAATGCTCCAGTGACCATGTAAGTTGACCCGAGCACTAACTTTTCGGGAAGAAAGCCTTTCCCCTACCTGGTTTCTCACTTAATATCCGCCTGAGTTCCGCATACCTATCTTCCGTTTCTCCTCATCGCAGCTTCCATCAAACCGCAATTGCCCGGAAACTAGGACCGCACATCTTATCTGATAAAATCGTTCGCCCTTTAGACCGATTCTGGGGGGTTAAGCTAGACTAGTCGATGAGTCAACTGTTGATCTAATTTCATTACGTGAACGTAGAAGAAAAAGGGGTAAAAAATCACTAATGTGTGATCAATTTTCAAGGACAATTCTGTAATTTCTCCTACAATTTTAAAATAGTTTAAAACGCGTAATATCCAAAATCTAAGCTCAGATTCGGATTCCTCGTGAAAAACTGATGCGATTCCATACATCATATGTTAGAATAGCGTGAAGGAAAGAGGTTTAATGACGTAAAAAAAACACTTACGTGTGATAAATTTTCAAGGACAATTCTGTAATTTCTCCTACGATTTTAAATAGATTAAAACGCATAATATCCAAAATCTAAGCTCAGATTCGGATTCCTCGTGAAAAATTGATGAGATTTCATGTATCATATGTTAGAATAGCGTGAAGGAAAGAGGTTTAATGACGTAAAAAAAACACTAACGTGTGATAAATTTTCAAGGACAATTCTGTAATTTCTCCTACGATTTTAAATAGATTAAAACACATAATATCCAAAATTTAAGCTCAGATTCGGATTTCTCGGGAAAAATTGATGAGATTTCATGTATCATATGTTGGAATAGCGTGAAGGAAAAAGGTTTAGCGACGCGTATAGATTCTGTCGTACTACCTCTTTGAACTACGCCGCCGCGCGGGTCGCCCGAGTGAAACAGAACGGGGAGGCGCCAGCTAAGCGTTCGGTTTCGTCGCGAGGAATTCCTCAAGATAAATTCTTATTCTTCCTCCTCCGCTGACCCACTGAGCACTACCCATGTTGCCACGTTGGATTCATATACTCGAATCAGTATGTCTACGTTACGTCTCTTTCCTTCACGCTATGCTCGGGTATGATACATGAAATTGTATCAATTTTTAACGAGGAATCCGAATCTGAACTTCGATTTTAGGTATCACGCGTTTTAAGTGAAATTTTTCAACTTCAAAAATCCGAAATGACTGAAGTGGCTTAAAATGCCATCTCGGCTCCAGTTCGATGGATTCTCCTGAAATTCGGTATCAGGGTATGATGCATGAACTCGCATCGATTTTTTACGAGGAATCCGAATCTGAGCTTCACTTTTGGGGATCACGCGTTTTAAATCAAAATCTGTCAAAATTAAAAAAAATTCAAAATTCGAAAATCCGAAATGGCTTAAAATGCTATCTCGGCCCCTGTTCGATGGATTTTTCTGAAATTCGGTGGCAGGAGGTATATTCCGACGGGAAACTCGAATTTTTAGTCCATTTTTTAAAATTCTCAACTCCAAAATGTTGGATGTGGCCTAAAATGAGCCCCGGTTCTGGCCTGCGTTTCTGTTCGTTAGAGCTTTGTGAACCGCGGGATCAGGGGTACTTTTCGATGGGAAACTCGAATTTTTAGTTGATTTTTGAAACTTCTCAAATCCAAGATGGCGGACGTGGCCTTAAATGCTATGTCGGCTCCTGTTCGATGGATTTATGGCGCCCCCTTACTACATGCCTACTCTTGTACTTCTGTACAGCCGCAAATTTAGGGTCAAGGGGCGCCTGACCGTCTATGGACCAGGTGGAGTTTTTGTCCTGAAAATTTACCTTTAGACGGCAATTCTCTTTATATTTTGTCTATGGTTTTTATGCCCCCCCCCTTTCTCGCGGACTCTCTTTTCACTTTTCTTGCCTCCTTTTTCCTTCCATTTCCCCCCTTCTTCCTTGCTTTCACTGCCCAACCTTGTTTCCTTTTCCTTTTTTCCCCTTGTCCTTTCTTCCCTTCTTTTCCTTTTCCTTTTCTCCCCTTTTTTCCCCCCTCTTCTTCTTTCGTGGCGCCTCCCAAAGGCTGGCGCCCGTGTGCGCCGCACGCTCTGCACACGCCCTAAGTCCGGGCCTGAATGTTAGGTAATTTAGTCAACCACATGCCTCTTTCTGTGTAGCTGCCTAGCTGGCCTGTTTCTCCGACTTCGTCCGCCATAAAATAACCTAGAAAGAAAGCTCGGTACGAGCCTGCACAGTGGTCTTGAAGGGGGGGGGGGGAAATGCGATAAAGATGCACCCAAAAAGCGTTAGCAGAAGGTGAATCTATGGCGTAGACTTAAATCGCGGAAAATCAAAATCTTGGCCGATCCTATTTTCAGAATATTGAACTTTGAAATTTTGGAAGTAAATGAAAGTTTTTATAACTGTATTGATCAGGTTTTTTTTTTCATTTGTCCATTGAATCAGTGTCGACAGATTCACGATTTTATTTTTCATTTGAATAATGTCGATTAAATGCATACCCTCTGATTGCATGCAGACGTCCTACCGTACATTTTTTTAAACTGAACAACTCGCCTTCAGTGGCGTCTGCAGCAATTGTTGTTACGAATATGTAGTGCGTGCTGAATTCAGCCCATTACATACTCGACTCTCTGAAGGGGTTTTATGT